GCCTATACAAATCGACCTTTGACTCTATTTTCGTTTGCCCACTTCCTCCCCCTTCCTCCATTTGTACATCACTGCTTCTTTTGCCTCCCGCCTCACCCTCCTCCATTATCACCACCCCACTTCCTCCAGCAACGTCTTTAACCTCCTCCATTTTTGCTTCTTCGTCAATTTGTTTCTTCATTTTCCTCTTCTTTCCATGTGTTACTATGGCGTAAGGCGATTTGACAAACTTGCTCTTTTGGCTCCCTCTTTTTAGCCCAGGTTGCACTTTAACCGCCTTCAATACTCCACCAACTTCTTCCTCTACCAACTTCCTCCTCCACCCTACCAACTTTCTCTGCCACCTTATCCACTTTCTCCTCCACCCTTTTTATCTGCTTTTCTATCTTATCAAACCTCTCATAAACGGCTGTTGTAAAACTCTCAAACAAACTGTTTATAAGGTCAATCACCTCATTCTCCAGACCCCGACCCCTCAACAAAGTAGAACTTGTTGTACCAGTTTGTTGAGGCATACGAACCTCTTCCTCCCTCTCCTCCTCCTCCTCCTCCTCCTCCTCCTCCCTCCGGCCGATTGGAGCTTCATTATCCTCGGCATCAACCACATTCTTAAGCAGTGACCCTGCAACTGCCCTCACATGCGTGACCCCTTCTAGGTCCCGCATCAGGCGGTCTATCCCTTCATCGCTTTCATCCTCCAGTGGTTAGAAAGATGTGACATAATGCTTTTCCGCTTAACCCCTAGTAGCGGCGAGAAAGGGACAGACGACTCCCTGCAATAAGAAACAAAATCAATCAGATTTAAGTGACATTTTAAAGCAACTGCATATTCAAAAGCTTAATCCTTTAATCTTACCCGAGACGCATCTATTTCAATGTCTATTTGGTCGTAATCCCAATGGGTACACTTCTCGACCTGCCACTGCAACATCTTAGGAAATTGTTGTCGCACATCCGAAGTCTTCATCCTCCCCCTTGCCTTAGCGAAGACAGAGATGACCTCATACATCCAAGCTTACATTGTAAAAAAACAGTCCATATCATAATTCAAACATATATATTACACAAAATATAACAAAAAGCTATTAATATTTACTTGCATTGCCTATGGGAAGCCAAACAAATTGTACGTGCTCGGTCTATTCTTCCCGGGCCATTGGGAGTGCTTTAACGCCATGTCTTTTAGTTGTAGGGACTCACTCCATGGTTCACTTAAATGATACCCGTCCCCACGGATAAGCATTAAAGAAGTCCAAGTTGCTTGCAAACATCACCCAATCAATATCAACGGCTTTTGTTAAGTCAGCAACCATTAGGATCGAATGTAAGAATAATACCAAGCACAGTTTGAACTTCTATGAATCAGTTAACCAAACTGCTTCTATCTTCTCTGACTATGAGTTTTTCAGAAATGATCACTTAAGCGATCACCTCAATCGCGAAAGCGACCAAGAGTAAAAGCGAAGAATCGCTTAAGCATGGTTCCAAAGAAGTCAGTGCGAGTCAGCAGGTTTGAGCCAAGTAAAACCATGAGGAGGATGCTAGTGCCAATGATTCTGATTCTAAAGCTTGACAAAGATGGATGTAAAATATGATTCTTTTGTGTGTTGGGGACTATGGTTGTGGTCATGTTTTGAAAGTAGAGTGTTTGGGCAAAGAGTGGGTTTTTTTGTGAAGGAGCAGACATGTTTTAGGTGTTCTCTCTGCTTGTTTCGACTCGGTGAAGAGGGCTGGGCAAAGCGGGACAAAAGGAAAGAGCGGGAAGGCAAAGGGAGTTGCGTGGAGGGAAGTAGTAAGGACAAAAGAGAGTTTGAAGAGAAGAAAAACGAGAGAGGAGGAGACTGGTTGCCGGATTATAAAACCCACATGGTGATTGTAGATGATGGTTAATGTAAAGGCGTTTGGGAGTTTATTTTGGTTTGGGTGGAGTGATTTGCGGATTTTCTAGGTGGCCATAAGATACATGACCATGCCGAGTAAGACTTTTAGCAAATCACCGTGTGGCTTATGGGTCAAGATTCTGGCATCGAGATCTACTAATTTGAGTCATGGTGGTTGAGCAAAGGGAGTGAGAGAAAGGGCAGGTCATTTGGAAGATTGCCAGGGCCCCACAATGGGCACCAAACTATAGATGCAAAAAATCTACCGTCATGAAAATAGGGTCTGATCCTAAGAGGTTGAGGCCACTGACAATCCGCTAGACCTGCATACACGAAAGGACAAGCGTGAAGCTTCCAGAAAACATCAAGGTGGTGTTTGCCATAGGCACTCCGATGCTCAAGTTAGCAAGGCTAAAAGAGATTATTTGATAAGAATTAAGGAGATGAAGAATTACCAGAAGTCTTGTCAGGAGCAAGGACTACAGTGAAGGCGTCGGGTTCTTGGGAGCAAGAACTTTAGGAGAAAATAGATGGTTTTGAGTAGTGTAGATTGACTATGAGAGATTCCCCTTTATGAGAGGGCATGCCTCTGTTTATATAGTGAACCCAAGGGGTTGGAATCTTAGTAGGACACTAGGTCCTACTTTGGGAGATAATCACTATCAGGAAAATGATAGAATTTCTTGTCTTTATCAGAATAAGTATATTAGTTTGAGTAAGGTTCAAAATCTCAACAGAAGAGGAAATTGAATATGATTCTGATTTCCTATTTATGGACTGTTGTAAGTTAATGGGCTAGAACCCATTTCAGCTTAACTTGTAAGATAACCTAACTCATAAAGTGAGCAGTTCACAAGGTGATTTTAAGCGCAGACCCAATCAAGATTGGGCTGAGGCCTTGGGTCGTAACATGTTTATTTCGTTATTGGGTCTAATCAAGCCCAAGATTATTTTTGGCCTTAACAATGACCTTATCTATTATGTTGCCTATATTAAATTTGTTTTTATTTTTATATATAGATTCATGAAAGATGGGAAAAACAAGGTATATAGTACGCAGAACTTTCGCTTTACCAATCTTGAACTTTAGGAAAATTACTAAATTAGAACTTTTGAGTTGTTTTGAAGGAGGACAAGGCCTCGGATTAACACATAAAGTGAAAGGAAAAATAAGNCTAGCTAAAATGGCCCTTATTCTGTCAAAAACCTCCCAGCTCGACCTCACCGTCACCCTTGTAGGGAAGTAGGGTACCTTCTCACTTATAGGCTCCAACTCGTACTCTCTACAGTATACTGTCCGCGCAATCTGCACAATCGATATAAATAAAATGTCAGCAACAAAAATAAACCAAAACCACTGTAGTCGCTTAAGCGATCTCGGATCGCTTAAGAGATCTTTACTCTGCCTCATGCAAGATCGCTTAGGCGATTTTAAATCGCTTAAGCGACCAAGAGTTAACTGAGAATCTCTTAAGTGATAAAAAAGATCGCTTATTATATCTGTGATTCTGCCAGACCTAAGATCGCTTAAGCGACCAAGAGTAAACACTCATGATCGCTTAAGCGATCTTAGGTCTGGGCAGAATCATCTACCCAGATCTCAGATCGCTTAAGCGATCCTTTTTATCGCTTAAGCGATCATGACTGCGATCACGAGTAAAATAGAATAATCGCTTAAGCGATACAAATGATCGCTTAAGCGAAAGTACAAGCAATATTCCCAAACTACGTACCCTATCTTCGCCGGCCTCCTCCTCGTCGCCTGGATCCTCTGACAACTCCTCCTGGCCTGAATTCTCGCCGGAATCCTCCTCCTGGCCTGAATTCTCACCTGAATCCTCGTCTTTAGACCCGTTTGCTGGTTCTTCCCTCTGTTCTTGTGCCGCCGGCGTCTCCTCGGCGTGTGGACCACCTTTACTGGTCAGATGATCCACCGGAGGCGCCATTGAACTGCTTGCGCCACCGGAATCTAGGATTCGAAGTGGCATTGGGCTTCCCTCCTCATTGTCAATGTCACTCATGGTTTTGGATTGAATTTGGTGTCAAAGTTTGCAATTTCGATCAAAAATGTGGACTGTATCGCTGGAAAGGGCACAGATTTCGTTTACGGTTAAGGAAATCGATTTTAGGGTTCAACAAATCGATCAAAAATCGCGACTATATCGCCGAAAATCACGCCTTTATTTGGTTTAGGGTTCAAGAAAGTGATTTAGGGTACAAATTTGCAGGTGTTCAATCGGAAAAATCGCGTCTCCCTTTCATTCAAGAAATCGCTTTTTGAACTGATGAATTTCGATTAAGCGAGGTGAATAGTTAGTGAGGCTTGTTTTGCGAAATTTCAAATTTTAAAAACTTTCATTATTTCTGATTCGGCCCACATGTGTTTTAATCTTTTCATTTTAACCCATTTTACGTGTTTAATTAATCCTAACTATGCCACGTCATCTTCTCTAAATTAAAAAAAAATGATGAACAGTTTCAAGGCCATTTTCTTAAATCCAAACTTGGGATGACCGGGCAACTAAATTTTCTCCCATTTTTTTCACTTAATCTTTAACTAAATTTCGTCCCAGCTTCACAACTTTTGTGTTTATTGTTTTCGCAACTGGGTTTGCTGAGAAATGTTGATTTGGGATTGTTTATACTGTTTTTTCTTTGGATCTTTCAAACATTTGGTTGGAATTTTTTTATTAGTTTTCTAGGTGATTTTGCTGTTCATCCGTTTTGTAACAAAGATTTTGGATTCATTTGGATCTAATTAAAGCATGATTTTTGTTTTTGTTATTTAAGCGTAGTGTTATTGTAAATTAGGGCAGTGTGATTTACTTGGGGAATTTTTCCTCTGCCTCTCTCAAACGTCCCTCCTTTGAACCCAACACTCTCCAACCCAGTTCCAAGAAACCCAACATCAAACCACCTCTCTCTTTGGCTTCTCCAAGATTCCTCTTCCCACTACCTCCACAACCACCTCACCCTCACCCTCACCCTCATCCTCTGTCTCTGTCCCGGCCCCTAACACATCTCCAAGCCATCCTCTACTCTGACGCTGCGTTTCTGATCTCGGAGACCCACTCCCTACACAAGCGGCGGCTCAAACACCTCAGTCGCCCCAGTCACAGAATGCGAACGTGGTGTGCCCAAGGACTTCGCTGTCGGCGGCAATGTTTCCACCTATACCATCCACTTCAAGGCAGTCGGCGTGAGAACCAAATCCGTCTCCGGCACCTACTTTTTCCAGTTCATGTGACGGGGCAGGAGAGTACGATTGTCCTAAGCGACGCAAAATCCAAGAGCTTAAAACCAAGTCCGCCTCTGACAAGGGCCAACCCGGTCTCCTTCAATTCGGGTCAAGTACTTCTGAGGTCCGTGTTCAATTAAAATATTCCTCTAGGGTTTCTCCAATTATCGTTTTGTTTGTTGTTATTGATTTTACTTCGCTATTACAGATTCTTGAAACAACATTTAAGGAGGAAACTGTTGATTTAGTCACCAGAGAAGAATATGTTGAGAAGGTAATGAATTTTATAATTTTGATTGGACTGGCTTATTTGTTTGGTGGTATTAATGTAATTTTGTTTAAATAGAGGGTCAATATTCGGAATAAAATCGAAGAGGAAGAGAAGGAGAAGCTTTAAAAACTGAGTAATGCTACAGTCACCGAAGTGGTGCACCGAATAATGTGACAAAATCTTGACCGTTGATTAATATTAAGTTAAAATTAATCAACGGTTAGGATTTTGTCACGTCATTCGGTGCATAAATTCAGTACACTATCGTCGGTGGTTGTATTATTTTCATTAAAAACTACAAGAAGAGTGAGTTAAAATTTTGGTTTTTTTTTTTTTTTTTTTTTTAAATTTTGTATTTTTGTTCTTCCAGATTGGTGACCCCTTTATTTATTTATAAATGTTTTTACCATATTGTATAGAGGAGGGATTGCAATTGCAAAAACATAAAAAGTGGAAGATTAGGGGAAATTCTCGATTATCTTTTGTAGAGGATATTAAGAGTGATAGTGAAGAGGAGAATGATGAAATATAGTAAATATATATTTTTTTTTTGTGAAGATGTTTCAAAGTCTTGAAATACTGGTATTTTACAATTTGATTCCGCTAAGCCTTTGTACAATTATAGTTTTAACTATGGATAAGTGAATCTCTGACTTTTACCTTGACCAACAACTTTGCTTGCTGGATTAAGGAACCTGTTATATAACTTTTGGAATATGGTTGTTACTTTTGTCTTAGAAGCCATGTGACATAGTAGTGGTCTTTGGGTCTCCTTGAGAGGTGATTCAGATTGTATTCGAATCTTAGGAGATATGTGAAACAGTTTGGTTAGGTCCAATTTATGGTTGCTTGATATATAACCTAAGTATTCTGGTCTCAATTTTTTTTTTTTTCTATTTAGCAAACCTTATTGTAATTCTTTATTATTTCGTCTTCTTTCAAATGCCCCTTTGTTGCTGGTCTTTTCCCTTTACCACCAGGAGAATCTTCAAGATCATAATGCTGGTCTTTAGGCTATTATTGATAATGGTTTGGTTTCTGTTTTAAGTGTCTTTGATTGTTAGAAATTGGGTCTTACACCATCATGAATTTATTTGCAGAAACCCTTTGGGATTGTCACTATAATTGTCATCGGTTGATGAAAGGGTAGTGTTGAAGCATTTCCCACAATGGCCAGAACGAAAAGTGGATGCTTTAAGAGACGCTGCTTTACTTCAACGGGAGTTTCATTCTTGCCTTTTTTTCATGAAATTATTGGGGACACTGGAATGAAGTAATTTGATGTGACTTATTGCGGTTGCTGACAGGTTGGCCATTCAAATAATCACAGATAAGTCCATTGTTATCGGACATATCATATTTATATTGTGGAAAAAAAAAAGTTGGCTAATGGATTGTGAATGTTGAACCAGGGACCACCAAATATGACTATCCTATTCACGATGCAAAATTTTGGTGAAGTAACTAAATTATTTCTAATTTATATATGTAGGTTGATGCTGTACACTGTGCTTTGAATGCAATGGGGTTCAAGGATGTTGAGATTGTGGTTGCTGAAACAGGATGGCCTTACTGCGGAGACCCCAATGAGGTTGGACCGAGTGTTGAGAATGCCAATGATTATAATGGGAACTTGAGCAAAATGTAAACAACACAGAAAGATTGACAGAAAGCAGCAGTAAAAGATACAGGATTTTTCAGATCCCATGGGAATGGATGTTTGATACCGGACTCATTGACCAGGTAGGTAACACATAGTTTACAAATTAAATTTACTATAAAGCAATTCATCAAAATTTCCTTTCTCCTTCTCTTTGTCCTCGGCGGGTTTGGTTTTGCACTTGGATGAACCTTGCTCCTTATTGGAAGACTTCTTCTTCTTCAAGTTTCCTAGCGCCGTGAACACATTATTACTGTTTAAACCAACAATTCGTCTTTTCTGCTACCGCCTCCCACCATTGTCGAACACTCTACACACTTGTAACTGTAGACCCATTCAGCAAAGGGACAAAATTGAAATAAGATGTTGATGAGGTTAGATTTGATAAATTAAGGATCGAGATAAAATAAATTGTAAAGGTAAAAGACGATCTGATAATAAGAGTTAGGGTTTGGGGCGGGTTGGTTGGAGGCAGAGAGAAAGAAGAGCACTGTCCTCAATGTGTATTGTGTATGTGTAATGTAATAGATGAAATGGAAGAGTTGTAAAATTGTATGTGTGTTTATCCAGGTTCAATGTGGCCTTGATGGGATTTGGGGCTGGGGTTACGTGCAAAGGCAAAGGCGTAATGTTTTTTAATTGAGTAATACTACACGTACATCATTTTCATATCTTGCCACATAATGTTGTATAGAAATGATGTATTTGTAGTAATATTCTTTTTAATTTTTTCATTTTTTGTTTGGGAGGGTGGCTGGGTAAGTTCCAGATGATGAAGGTGGATATTTAGTTTGAGATATAAGAAGAGAGAGGAGTATTGATGATGTGTTGAGTGAGTGAAGGTGAGTCATTTGATTACGAAGTGGTCAGGATTGAATCGTCTTTGTGTTGTATGGTCCCACTAAAGAGTCAGGTAATATAATGTGTGTGGATGGATTAATGAACAGGTGGATAAGAAGAAGGGTGATAACAATTGGCTGGCATGCAGTCATTCTGGGTCCACTTTATTTTGTAATTGGCATTTATTGCCCAAATATGGGTCTTTTTGCTATAGTAAATACGGTATGACAAAAAAAGGGTACAGGAATTTTATAGGTATGATACGATAAATAGTAAAAAATACGTTTATAAAAATTCGGTCATAAAATTTAGATACGGAAAAATACGGTACGAGTATATACGAGTTTAATACGATACATTGTCAATAATACGTTTTAAAAAATACGGTAATAACAATTCTGGTTTTAGCACTTTTCATGGACCACTTGGTTATAGCATTTTTTCTTATGGGTGTATGGTTTATGTCTTTTTGAATTATAATATTTTAGTTTGTAAAAAATTGTATCATTTGATTCGGAATTAATTATTACAAATGCTCTATTTTAAAAACCGGACCGGACCGGCCGGTCCAACCGGTTGGATCGGGACCCGAGGCCTTCTCTGGGTTGGGTCACTCTTTTTAACTGTTTCAAGTTTAAAATATAACAAACACACCCCTAATTAATACGTATCAGTCTCTGAAGGTTTCAAATCTAGCAAACACACCCTCTGGCCAAATGCAAATCGGCAATGACCTCCCCTTTTTCGACGACCTTCCACCTTCCCTTACTGTCGGAAACCACCTTCTGGCTTTCTCCAGCACTGTCACGCTTCATCTCCAGCCGCCGCGTGATGTTTCATCGTCCACCTTCGTCGCGTGATTTTTCTTTCATTTCCCGGCATCGATTGACCTTCTCCGGCATCGACAGGCTTCCTCAGCCACCAATCTACCTTCTCCCAGGTTCCTTTGCTGTCGTTCACGAAGATCCAGTCATCTCACCAAAAATAGCCACCGCGACCATTGACTTCCACCACCGATTTGCCATTTTCTGGCGATGCCTCTACTTGCTAGCTACCGATTCGCCCTTCCCATCATCCGATCTACCCTCCTTGGTGTGTCGCCGCTACTCTCCCAATCAATCGTCGATTTGCATTTGGCCAGGGTTGTGTTTGCTAGATTTCAAACATATAGGGTCTGATGGTATTTATCAGGGGTGTTTTTGTTAGATTTTAAACTTGTCAAACCATTGGTTCAACCGGTGGTCCAACCGGTTGGACCGGTTGAACCGTGACCCAGCCATCAGAGCGGGTTGCCCTCCGATCCGGTTTTTAAAGTAATGTACAAATGTTGTAGAAGTTGACCAATTACCTTACCAAACAAAACAAATGATTTTATTTATCATTTGTCAATCATTAATACAAACAAAGAATGAGGATTATATGATCTTATAATTAAATATTAGATTTGATAAAAGCAATTTTTGTTGTTTTCATTTAATGAAACCTCAGGATAAGTCCATAATCATTTTATTCTTTCAAAAAAACAATTATAAAATAACAATTTCATATATTCACGCCTTCATAACAAAGTTTAACACTTAGTTAAGTATAGTTTAATAATGCTTGTACCAGTGTTCTGAAAACCAGATCGGACCATTCGGTCGGACTGGTTCGACCGGCAATCGACGGCAAATATGGTTCGGTATATTATAAAAACTAGTATTTACCATTAAACCGGATTGAGCCGTGGTTGGACCATCGGAATACTGTCGAGTCGCGTTCCAATCGCAGCTCCATCCTGCCGGATTTCGGCATCGTTTGACAGAGAAAACACCCCTCATTCGACGTAACGACATCTCCACGACCAAACCCATCCATTTTCAGTGGTCGTCGTCCAGCCTTCATCGCTCGTCGTACACGTAAAGTTTACGCGACGTCGGATTTCTTTTGTTGATTCCGGCGAGTTCCGACGCAGATGGAACTCCCTAGCACCACCATCAGATTCGTCGGCACCTACACATCAAAAGCCCTAAGATTCCAGCTTCGATTGGCCGTCGATCGTCGCTACTGCCACCACTCACCAGAATCTTCGCGTAATAGGGGTGTTTCAGATAGATTTCAAACCTTAAGGGAGTATTATAGGGGTGTTTTTGATGAATTTCAAACCTTCAGAGACTAAAAATAATTTTATAGAATACGGTCCAACTGGAAATCGGACCCTTGAACGGGTCATTGTCCGGTCCGGTTTTCAAAACATTGGCTTGTACGCTAAACTGAATTATTGGGTCCAATCATTAATACAAATAGTAATCAATCATGTGGATCTTTCTTAGAAGATCAGGCAATTAGAGTGGAAAATTGGAAATGCAACTGACCCACTAATAAAGAAATCTATTCAAGCTTAATCAGAGAGTTGCTGGGGAATCATCAACTTGAAGAAGGAAATAAAGGACATTTATTGCATAAAAAGAAAGCAAGAAAGTAACGAACCAGTCCCTCACACGTATTTCATCAAACATGTTTCAAGAGACCCGTCCATAGAGATCAAGATCCAAGAGAAAAATAGTTGAAGAATGGAGTTTGAGATAAAGAATGGAGTTTCAAGTGTGTACCTTGAGGAGGAGAATTTGTACAGATCAAGAGACTCAATCCGTAGAGATCAAGATCCAAGAGAAGAATAGTTGAAGAAGAAGAGACGAAGAGTGGTTACTGGTTACCCAAAAAAGAGATGAAGAGTGGTTGCTGGATACCCAAAAAAGAGACGCGGAGAATTGAAGAAGAAAAGAGATTTAATTTCATTTGAGTTTTGACAAACTCCTACCCTAAAACGACGTCGTTTTGACTCATTAAATATTGAATTTTTATTTTAAAAAATATGGTTGAATTATATGCGAATTATACGACTGGGGCATATAATTCACGTATAATTCGACAGTGCTTATAAAATACGGGAATTCAAGCTTCATACACGCGAATCTACTAACTAGGCTCTTTGCACTAAGACTATCTCTATCTTTTCTTATTACTATTTATTATGTGGCCTTCTCTTCATCCTGCGCATCACATTTTGTTACTGTTATGCATAGGTTTTTATGGACATCCCAGAGATTTAGTAAACAAAAAATCCCATAAGTTTCAGAATTTAACATTTACACCCTTATAATTTTGGAATGGAACACTAATATCTTTTCTTATATATATATTTATTGGTGTCAAAATCACGCATTATGTATATATTTCTTCTTTATTAAATTAATGTATTGATTGTTTAAACATCCCTCTCTCTATATATAAATATTTAATGTATCAACTAGGTGAGCTTTAGTTGTTGAACAATCAATCAAACGACACCAAAATCACCCTCCTAATTGTTTGATCTAATTGAATTAGTATTTATAAAAATTATCACATCTTTATTAAATTAATATTTACATGTGTAATATTTATAAAAAAAAAAAATATATTGTGAAAAACTGAATCTTTATTAAATTAATTAAAATATCCGATTCTTCAAACAAACGTGGTATCAAAGCTACTTCCATAAACAACACTATATTATATACAAACAACAATATTTGAAATATATATTGTTGGTTGTGGTATCGAACCATATAGATATAGAAATTTATACATAGTGTATTGAACGAATCGACAACAAAATCAAAAGACAAAACCAACGAGGAGAGAAACTAATATAGAAATTTCAAAGAAATGATAAAAGAGAAATGACAATCGATAGGGATATACATTAATTAATTGTTCGGTTAAAAAAAATTAACTGTACTGTTAGTGTTTTTGTCATCTTATGATCCTAATTTTGTGTCTTGCCTATTATTGATCTTTTACCATTGTGCACACACTTCTAAAGGTAACCACCTTCACAAGTGTGAGCAGTTTAGCCTATGTGTGTTCGCAACGTTTCTGGCAATTGTTTTTCCACAAATCACATTTCATGCACTTGTTTTCACTTTTGGACAGAATTATTCCTTGATTGATTTTCTGTCTTATTCTTTGTACTTGTCCCCTGTTTATTCACTGTGTAAGAAAAGGAATAATTCTTTTGTCTATGGTCCCAAAATGTCTTGTGCAAAGAGATTGAAGAAGCCATCCAAGAAGAAGAGAGTGAGGAGGAAGAATCCGAGAGTGGTGAGGAGATTGTTGATTAAGTT